GCCTCCGCACCGCCCCTCGGACCGCCCCGCCCCCGCCCCCGGAGGCGCGGCCTGCAGCCGCGTCCGTCTGTCCGTGCATCTGTCGGTCCATGGTTCCCCAGCCTCCCCGCCGCCGCGGAACTGAAGCCCCCTAGGGAGCGCGGCCCCCCGCTGCCGTCTCGGGTCGGTTCACTGCCCCGATGTCGCCTCCAAGCCCCCTGGGAAAGGGAAGGCCCAGAGCTCTGCGGGCTGGCAGGTCAAGGGGGCCTGGGGCCAGCATGGGCAGCGGGAGCCTAGGGCCGGGGGGAGGGGCTCAGGGAGGCTTTCCCGGAGGAAGCCACGTCTAAGGTGAACAATAGGGGTGGGGTGCGGAGTAGCCTGAGGATTAGATACTTCCAGGAACTGGGGAGTTTGTCAGGATCAAGGGTCTGGGGCAGTGAGAGGTAAGGTTGGGCCAGTTAAGGATTCAAACTTATCCTGGGCCCGGGGCGGGGTCCACCATGGAATGGTGACCAGACCACAGGGCTGCCAGGTGGTTTGCCCCTCCCCGCCAAGGGCTCAGAAATGTTCTCAAGCTGGAACCAGGACAGCGCAGCAGGGAGAGGCCGGGCCTACAACCCAGAACTCCTGGTCCCGATCCCCCTCAGGAGCTACCCCCCTTAGCACTCCTGGCGGGCGCACAGGCCGCCACCCGTAGACATCTAGAGGGAATCCTATCAGTGTCCTCGACTGGGGGCCTCTGGAGACCTCTGGAGTCACAAGAGAGTGATTGCTGGTATCTTGGTCTCCCATCCAGGCAGCGGACCCCGGACAGGACCCTGCCTGTCTCCTATCTCTTCTAGAACGCCCGTGACCACACACCCTGGGCACAAGGCCTCCAGTCACTCTGGGCTGTTGGCATGGCCCTGCCCTGCCCATGCACCTGGGAAGCATCTATGAATGCACAGCTCAGTGTCTGGGGGAAGGGGACACCTGTCCGACAGGACCAGCCAAATGCAGTCAGTGCTGCCTGCTCTGCTCCACAGCCCGGCACCGCACTGCCCCCCCGCCCCCGCCCCCCCATCTCCATATCCCAGGAGCAGCTGGGGAGTTAGGAGCAGCTGTTAGGAGACCCAGGGTAGGCCTTAGGGTCAGTCCTCTGAGACAAAAGTAAAGGTGTTTGTATCCAAAGGCTCCACAATGAAGTGGGGCTGGTGCATGGGGGGCCTTGGGCCATGCGCTCCGTGTGTGTGGCTTCTGGGCAGTCAGGACCCCTAGTGAGCCCTCCGTGGACGGGCCAGCTCCCTGACCAGGGGGCCCTGGTTATAAATAGGCCACCAGCAGTGGGAGGCTGGCACAAGGAGGCTGGTTATCAGGTGTGACATTTCTAAGGCAAACACCTGTGATCCAGTCATCCCTAGCCTTTGGCCACACTGCTGCCCCGCTAGCGTTTGGCCCCCGGCACCCCCCCCACCAGCCCAGCTCACCCACTACTGCCTTTACTAGTGCCCCTGCCCTGGGCTCAGCTGGCTCTGGGGACAGGTGGGAATGGGCCTCCAATGGCCAACCCGGAGACCTCGTGTTAAACGCTTTGTTAGCCTGGGCTCCCCCCAGCTGCCCCGGGAAGTGGATTTTAGGTACCTGGCTTGCCCAAAGCCGCACAGATGAGTGGCCAAGCCAAGACTGAGAAGGACGTAGAAGCCCTGCTGCCCCCTTCCCTCGGGGAATCCAAGGGCTCAGGCACGGCCATAACCAGTTCTGGTTTCGCGGACCACGGTCTGGCTGGCCTGGGCTTTGTGCTGCACGCGCGGGGCAGGCCTCCCGGTGGCTCCCAGCCCAGGCACCGCCATCGCCTTCAGGAGGTCGGCACGGGGCACGGGCGGAGCTGGGGCGGCTGAGGGGCTTGCTGCCATGGCCTCACGTGGCGTGTTCCCTCCCCCCCCTTCCAGGCGGGAAATAATCCCGTCAGCCGGGACGGAGGCCTGAGACGGATTCCAAAGCCCTTGGCGGGGGTTTCTGCACATCTGGAGCCCCTCCTCGCTGTGAGGCTGCAGCTGTTGTGGTCGGTCTCCATCTCCAGGCTGCCAGGGTGGGCCCGAGTTGGGAACGTTCTCCCACCACCGGGTGTGCTTGGTGGAGGAGTCTTCCTCAGCTACGGCTGGGGGTGAAGGACGGACGCCCGTAGTGGCCTCAGCAGCTAGTCTGCCCCCTGAGGCTGCTGGCCTCGGTGCACACACAGGGCCACAGATGTGCACACGCTCACGCACAGTCATGCATGGGCACCATTCACACACACACCACCCTCAGACCCCCCCCCGCCATGAGCCTTCCCAATAACCCGTTGGCCTGACTGGCTGGGGGTTCCCACGACAGGCACGGGGGCCCTGGCACCAGCTGGGAGGCCCCTTCTAGCAAAATCCCTGCCTCTTTCTCCAGAGGGCCAAGGTTCCAGCGCTGCTTCCACTAAGAGGTGGAGGGAAGCCAGGGCTCCCATATGCTGAGCGTGCAGCAGCCAGGCTGGCCTCAGCTCTCTCTGCACATCACCTCCCTGAGTCCTCGAAAGCACCGTCCACCCCGCCTACGGGAAGGCTACTGGGGGCTCAGAGCTGGCATCTTGCATAGGCCAGAGAGAGGGCAAGTTGGGGGCTGGTGCCTCCAGGCCAGGACGTGGAACCAGGGCCCTGGGAGGGAAGGGGTGTTCTCTCCAGCCAGCACCTGAGTTCTGGGGTACACGCAGGCATTGGTACCCGGGGGGGGTGGGGGGAGGGAGGGGTGGGCCCATGGAAGCCTCTAGTCCCCGCATCAGTGCCCACCAGGAACGCAGCCCCCCAAGACAAATGACCACCCAGGACCAAGGTCCAGCCAAACAGCAGCTTTATTAGTGATGCTGGATTCTTTACACACCGTATAGTGTGCACGCAAGTATTCCCTAGGGAGCGCTTACACCGGAGTGATAGAAATAAAGCTTTGGTGTGTAGGTTTCCAGGAGAGAGCACAGGTTAACACTGCAAGACGAACACTTCACACAACACCAGCTCTCAATGTGGATTGGGTTTTTGGCCAAGGGGGTGAATTCTAAGTGACTAGACACTGGGGCTACTCCAGGCCCAGCGCGGGGGCGGCCCCTAGGGCTGGGGCTCCGGCCGGCCCTGCCGTTTGGCCTTCATCTGCAGGTACCGCCCTTTGCCTTCCTCAAAACGCTTCTTCTCGTCCTCGGTCTCGGGCTGTGGACCACACACAGAGACAGGCAGGTTAGAGAGGTCACAGAACCCTGACTGTGGGCCAAGGCCCGGGCCCTACCCCAGGAGGGCCCAGAAGACCCCACCCGGGCTCCACTGGCCAACTGGGGCTGCTTGGGTGCCAGGCGCTGGCCCTGTAGGGATGCCAGTTTCAGGAGCACACCCACGCCACCCTTCACAGCAGGTGGAACCCCCAAACCAGTGCCCATTTGATAATGAACTGCAGCTGGAAATGCTGTTGATAAATGAAACATGGGAGGGAAGGCCTAAAACAGGGCCATGTGTGAGGAAGGATAAGAGGGTCCCTGTTGGGGACGCTGCATTTGGTCCACTCCCAGGGAATGCCAGTTGCTCACAGTCCCTGCCCCAAAGGGAAGTGGGGACAAGCGCTGTGCTATGTCCCCTTGGGAAGGCCACTTTATTGTACCAGGAGCAACAGTGACCGCTTTGTGGGCAGGGAGCCTCGGATGGCGCAGATGAGCAGGAAGCGGCTCCTTGGGTCCTGCTCACCCCTTCCCTGTCACGTCTTTCCTCTGAGCAACCTAGGAAGCCACGTCCCCATACTCGGGGCGGGGGGTACAGAGCCTACTGACCAGAGGGAATTGGCCGAACTGGCAGGATTGTGAATGGTGCCCCTTTCACTTTTTTTTTTTTAAGATTTTATTTTATTTATTTATTTGAGAGAGAGAGAGTGAGAGAGAGCACAAGAGGGGGAGGGTCAGAGGGAGAAGCAGACTCCCCGCTGAGCAGGGAGCCCAATGAAGGACTGGATCCCGAGGGATCGTGACTCAGCCAAAGGCAGTCGCCCAACCAACTGAGCCACCCAGGCGCCCACCCCCTTTCACTTTTAAGAGTGGCCTGGTCTGGAGGTGCCTGGGGGGCTCAGTCGGTTAAGCATCTGACTCTTGGTTTCGGCTCAGGTCATGATCTCAGGGTCGTGAGATCGAGCCCCACGCTGGGCTCTGTCCTCAGCACAGTCTGCTCGAGAATTCTCTCACTCCCTCTGCTCTTCCCCACCCTCCCCCACTCTCTCTCAAAATTAAATTAAATTAAATTAAATTAAATTAAATTAAATTAAAAGAGTGGCTTGGCCTGGCCACTAAAGGGTGTGACACCAGGCAGAGGTCACTCCCCGAGGCCCCATCTATCCCACTGTGAAGTTCTCTCTCGCCAGCCCTGCTCAGGAATTCAGGTTCAAAGAGCTGTGTTGATTCCTCTGGGACATTTCCTTGCGATACTTTGAGGGTGTCTGAAAGCTAAAGAAATGGGGCAGTTGCCCTTCATCCACAATGACACCAAGCCCCAGCAGCTATTTTTAGGCCCAAGTGTTTTACAGGCAAATGGTATATTGGCAAAAGAGAGAACAATCAGCCAGAGGATGTAATGTCAGGTTAAACCAAATATTTCCTCCCCCTCAGCCTTCTCAGAAATTGTTTGCTAAATGTCACCAGGTGTAAACTGTCAAAACCTTGTGGCTTGGAGCCAGTGGAACATTTGGGTATTTAAAGAACTAGGATCATGCTCCTTATAGCGGTTCTGGTGCGTATTTGAAGAGTCTTCGGAGCACACGTGGACACTGGTGGCTTCCCAAGACGCTTTATTGAGGAAGGCCCTCCTGCTGCTCTTGTTTCATCTCTGGCTGACTTTTTTAAAAATAAAATTTGAGGCCATGCAATTTGACCTGAGACAGCCCGGGGAAACAAAATGTTCTCTCAGTTAGAGCAGGCAGTGCTAAGGGGGAGCTTCCTGGGGGCAGGAGGCCAGGGGCCCATCCCTGTTGCTGAAGGCACCCCACAACCACAAGGCCGCATTCCACGGGGCCGGCTTCTGTGCAACCCAGGCAGAGCTTCTCCAACGCAAGTCACCTGGGGGTCTTATAGATGCAGATTCTGGTGCAGGGGGTCTAGGGGCCAGGGCCTGAGACCAATTTCTAACAAGCATCCCGGTGATACGATGCTGCTGGCCTGGGGACCACTCTGAGCAGCATGGCCCTACCCTCTATCCATCCATCCCTGCAGCAAATGGGGGAAAGCTGAAGAAGCCAAGAACGCAAGGTCAAGTCCACCAGGCTAGGTCAGTGGGGCCTTTTGCTCCCTCTCCTCTGTGGAACGTGCTTGGCGTGGCTGAGGGGACCCGTGGCTCCCATCCACCTGCAGCCAAAGGCCAGGGCTCAGGAGAGCGGCATGGCTGGGCCCCTCTTCAGGGGGAGGAGGGGCTGCAGCCAGGCTTCCCGCCTGCCTCACAGAGGACCAGCTCATGGGCAATGTGTTTGGGTCCCGGGGCTGGGAAGCTGGCTGAGGTGGAGAGCCTGGGCTGGGCCATGTGCCGAGGGTCCCCCCAGCTCAAAAGGCCCAGCCCCTCTCTGCTGGGGGATTCTGGAGCAGGGCCTCCCTCCAGCTGGTGGAATTTCCATTCCTGGAACAGGGGAAAGAAGGGAAGAGGCTTGGAAAGAAAAGAATTTCTCAAAAACAAGAGCGTGAGCCTGGCCTGGGCAAGGCAGCGGGATGGAGATTGATGGCCACCAGGCCATCTGCAGAGCCCACTGGAGCCAGGTCCTGCCTCATGGGAGGGGCCCTTCTGTGTCTCCAGCCCACGAGTGTTTCTGGAAACCAGCAGACATGGGATTCACACGAGGAACTTGGGCCGCAAATGCTTGGTCACCAGCCAAGGGCTCTCAGGGCTCAGAAGAGCAGGGATGGGTCCAGGGAGAGCAGTGAATGGAGCCTCCATCAGGGGTACCCTAGACAGAGGACCTGTGAGTGACAAGGAGCCCCCAGGATGCCTGGGTGGCTCAGCCGTTTAAGCGTCTGCCTTCGGCTCAGGTCATGATCCCGGGGTCCTGGGATCGAGTCCCGCATGGGGCTCCCTGCTCAGCAGGGAGTCTGCTTCTTTCTCTCCCTCTGCCCCTCTGTTCTCTCTCTCAAATAACTAAAATAAATCTTAAAAAAAAAAAGCAGGGGCGCCTGGGTGGCTCAGTCATTAAGCATCTGCCTTCAGCTCGGGTCATGATCCCAGGGTCCTGGGATCGAGCCCCACATCGGGCTCCCTGCTCAGTGGGAAGCCTGCTTCTCCCTCTCCACTCCCCCTGCTTGTGTTCCCTCTTTCGCTGTGTCTCTGTCAAATAAATAAATAAAATCTAAAAAAAAAAAAAAAAAGCTAATCCTGACAGTTCTAGGAGATGCCTAGATATTGGCCAGCGCCACCTGCCCTCTGGAACGGGCTGGCCTGCCTTGGACCCCTCCCACCACACTGCATGCCCTTCCCGGAGAGGCCTCTTCATTCTGCCCCCAAACCAGCTCAGCCTCCCCTCTGGAGCCAGGGTGGGGGACCAGCCAGGCTGGTTTGAATCTGGCTTCACCACTTACCATCGTAAGGCTCATAGACTCACTTACATTCTACCCTATGAGGGTGCTGGGGCGGGGTACCAAAGTCCTCTCAGTTGTCCCCAACAAGTCAGTGAAAGAAGCCCCCCCCCCCACCTCATGTACGAGTCCATTTATACCAAACATTAAGAGTAAGCACATCCACAGAACACAGATTAGTGGTGCCAGGGGCTGGGGGCGGGCTGACGACCCAGGGGTGCATGGTTTCTTCTGGGGGGATGAAAATGTCCTAAAATGGACTGTGGTGATGGTTGCACAACTCCGTGAACATACTAACACCTGCTGCATTGGACGCTGTAAACGGGGGGACTCTACAGTACATCATTACATCTCAAACCCACCAGAGGTGAACACCCCTCCTCACAGTTCACAGAAAGTCAAAAAGAAGGTTCAGCATGGCGATGCCTCCCAGCCAAGTCCCAGCACACAGGGGGCAGCAGGGCCGAGGAAACACTCCCTGAATTCCACCCGGCGCTTTCTCTACAGCGGCCAAGCCGCGATGCATTCACTCCCGGCAGGTGCACTGAGCGCCTCCCAGACGCCGCTCTGGGCCTGGTGCTGGGACCTGTCTCGGGAGCTGACGGTCTAGCCAGCAAGACGCAGGGGAACAGACAGATTATACAGTCCGTGGGAAAATGACAATGACGCGGCCCCACCACAAGGTCAAACAGAGGGAGGGGGTCTCGAGGGCCAGGTGCCAGGGAGGCTCCGCGGTGGGGAGAGTAGCCAAGTGGGCACCAAGGTACACGGAGGTCTGCAGGTTGCCTGCCTACAGCAACAGCTGCTGCCCTCCGCAGTGGGTCAGGCAAGCGGCAGAGCCAGGCCCATTGGGCAGAGCGAGCCACCTCGGGAACGGCCTCCCTGGGAAGGAGCAGAAGGCAGAGTCCCAGGATCATCGCAGGCACCTCATCCGTGCAGTGGGAAGTCAATCTACTGGGTCTGTGTGGATACAAGGAGCAGGGAGAGCACCCAGGCCATCTCCAACCTCAGGCCTCAATACAGTGGCCCCCACAAGCCGCCAGGTAACACACCTTTGGGGTGGGCATCAATCTGGATGGCCTTCCGGGCCCTTGTAACTCCGAGCAACGCTGTATTTATAAGCAGGAGCCTGATGCTGGGCCATTGGTCCTGCAGCAGCCGTGAAGACGGCTGGTCCCCTGGGCCAGGTCTCTACGGGGCAGGAGCTGTCCAGAGTCTAGTCCACTGGTAAGAATAAGTCAGCAACAAAGAACAGAGAGCTCTTCTCTCTTTGAGAAACACACTGAAATACTCGGAGGCGATGATGTGATCTGAGATTTGCTTTCAGTGGCCTGCGGGGTGAGGTGGGCAGGGGTACACTTGCATGAGCAAGACTGGCCCTGTGTTGCTAACTACAAGGAGTTCTTTCTTCTCTTTAGTTTTGCATATAGTTGAACTTTTCCATAATTAAAAGGTAAAAAAAAAAATAAAAGCCAACTAGACCCATCAGGGCAGCTGCAGGGACCCCTTCTCCCTTCCCTGGGCACAAAGAACTTCAAGTCACACGCAGTCAGTTGAGGGGCTGAGTCCGGGGTTGGAGAGGAGCTGCTCCCCTACCCTGGGCTCTATTTCCCACCTGGCACC